TGGAGGTAGAGTTGACCTGAAGTCCTCATGAACAGGATATGCAAACTGGGGAAGAACCAAGAAGGTCTAAATGCTTTTTTTTTGAGCCTGAGCAATTAGAAGACACTGCTGCTGCTTAATTTGAAGAAGGTTAGAAGAACCAGAGTCCCCTCTTGTACTAGATAGTGTTAGTTGTCAACTTGACACACCTGGGTTAAAGGAGCCTCAACTGGGGAATTGCCACCATTGGACTGGTCTGTGGCCATGTCTGTGGGCGTATTTTCTTCATTGTTGAGTGATGTCCAGCCCACTGTGGGTAGTGCCACCCTTGGGCAAGTGGTCCTACGCTGTATAAGAAAGCAGGTTAAGTACAGGCCAGGGGAGCAAGCCAGTAAGCGGCATTCCTCCACGGCTTGTGCTTCAGCTCCTGTGTGGAGGTTCCTGCTCTGAGTTCCTGCCTCCCTCAGTGATGAACTGGCTCCCTCAGTGATGAACTGTGACCTAGGAGAAGTGAGTCAAATAAACCCTTTCCTCCCCAAATTGGTATTGGTCAGAGTGTTTTGTCACAGCAATTGAAGGCAAGCTAGAACACCTCTTATTTCTTTTTCTTTATATGCCCTTCGCCTCATAGACTATGAACGCAAGCCCTTTCTTTCTAATACCTTCATTTCCTTCAACATGCCCTTTAATCCTTCCTATCGGAAAGAACTTCCTCTAGCTTCTTCCTCTGCTCTCATGCACCCCTCAACCCACTGCGCTCGTTACTATTCTCCCTTTACCAGCATACTTCTTACCAAATACACAGATGACCTCTGTTGCTAAATCTAAGGGCTTTTAAGTTCTCGTTTCTCTTGAGCTCTCTGGTGTTTAATACTGTTGGTATGTCCTCCGTTCTCATGTGGATTCTAAAATTCCTTGTTCCTTCCCCAGTTCCCTTCCTTCTTCACCTTTTAAAAATGGCACTTCCATAGAGCTCATATGAAGCCCTTTCCTTCACCTTCTCTTTGGGGATTTAATTTATAGCCGTGAACTCTCACTTGTTCTGATGACTCTAGCACAGATCTCTCCTGAGCTCTAGCCCCTTCTGTTTAGTAATAGACAGCTTCACTTTCACATCCCATGGTCACTTCAAACTCAACATGGTTAAAATTAAGCTAATTACCATCTCTCCAGGGCCTGCTTTTCTTCTTGAGGTCCCCACCTTTGTAACTGATAGCCCATCATCCCCTTTACCTGATCTATAATCCTCCCACCTTTTCTCAATCCTACAGATAATCAGCAATCAAATAAATAGTTATTGACTCTTTTCCTTCTCTCTACCTCCCTTCTTGCTGCCTTCATTTAAGAGGTTCATCTTGTGCGGCTGGAGAGATGGCTCAGTGGTTAGGAATGCTTGCTGCTCTTCCTAGGGGACCAGAATTCAGTTTCCAGTACCCATTTCAGGAAGCTCACAACTGCCTATAACTGTAGCTCCAAGGATTCTGGCTTTCACAGGTACCTGCATACAGAGGCACATGCCTCCCTCCCCCATTCACACACACAAATAAAAATAAAATATTTTAAAAAATAAATAGAGGTTCATCTTTTTTTTTCTTATGATGCTAAAATAACCTCCTAAACTTGACTCCTGGCTTGCAGTGTTACTAATAAATTCTCCCAACTGAAGTGGTCTTTTTAAAATAGCATTTGATCAGATCAGTATGCTCCTTAAAATTAATCAACAGCTTTTCATTGGCCTTAGGGTAAGTTTAAACTTCTTAGAAAGATAAACAAAATCTTTCACAATACAAAGGCATGCTAATCTTCCTGGATCTATCATTCAGGACTTCTGCCATACATTCATACAATGTAAAATTCTACAAAGAACTTTCTGCCTGCTGGGCACCATCCTCTCTGCTCAATTCTTTGAGTGTGCCTTTTTACCTTTAAGCTTTTGACGCACAGTATCTTTTTTTTTTTTTTGGTCCAGAATACTGTACCTTTAACTGGTCCATTCATTTGGCTCATTCCTATTCACCTCAAACCTCAAGAGTTACTTCATGGTGGTGCATGCCTTTAATCCTAGCACTTGGGTGGCAGAGACAGGTGGATCTCTGTGGGATTCAGGCCAGCCTGGTCTACGTAGCAAGTTCCAGGTTATCTGGGGCTACACGGAGAACTTGTCTCAAAAAAACTAAACCAAGTAAAACAAAAGAGTTACGTTCTGTAGCTAGGTACCTTCCTCCTGTAGATATCATCTCACTGTTGCATGATCAACTTTGTTTTCATTTGTTTCCTCATTATACTATAAGATCCTGCAGGGCAGAGACGGTCTTATTCATCTTTGTAGTTCTAGGGCCTAGCACACAGTACCTGCCACAGCAGGCACTCAATAATGAATAGAGTAGCAGAGTTGGATTTCAAAGTCAGGACTTTTCTTTCCGGCAGAAATCTCACATTTCTTCACACTATTTTTTCATATCTTGAATTTGAAGAATTCTAGAATTTCAGTTGGATAGGCTTATGTCTAACTAATACAGGCAAATAGATCTTTGGCTCCATCAGAATCCAGTTGATGACTACTTTCTTATATAGCCCTTCTGCCATCATTCCTGTGCTCATCAAGGTTAACTAGATCTGGAATAACAGAGATACCTTTCTCTACTCTTACAAACTTTGGTACTTCCTATTATCCTGGTGCTTCCAAACCACCACAAAGCAAAGAGAGAGGAAATATATAAGGAGCAATGGAAATTTTATTAGTTTGAATGAACTATCTTTAAAACCACTCAGGGCATCAAGAAGTCATTTCTCTTCATTCCCTCTAGAATCCCTATGGCTAAGTATTAAAGGTTCAGTACTAAAATCCAGCTAAAACTGAAATTACATACTGAGTTCAATTTAATCACAGAATTTTGTAAATGCAAAATTGCTGTGTCTCTCAAAAACACACTCTGAAGGGAGGGGTGAGCTCTGAGGTACACAGGTTGCTGTTTGTGTGGTGGGAAACTGTGGTGGGTAAGCTTCCATAAGGAAACCCACATGCAAAGAATGATAATGGCTGCCCAAGTTCATCCAGTATACAGAAGTGAGAACACGGATCTTTCTTCACTGCCAACTGTGCTCTTCTCAAAAGGCTTTATTCCCCATCTAAATAAATGATCTTCAACAGAACCCACTTATTTACATAGTCTTATCTTTATGCCATTGCCTTTGAGATATCCTTGTTATAAAGAACAAGGAACTGGGGGTGGGAGGCAAGGCTGCCTTGTCCAGGGACATAAGAGAATCAGTAAAAGAGACATTTAGTACACAAAGGGATGGGGTTTCCTATTTGTAATGTAGCCTTGTAATCACACTTTGTACTCTCAGTGCCACATTGCTAACCCATTCTCATTTGTCCTTTCTGGGCCTGGATTTCATTCAGTTCTGCGCCTTATTTAGTCAAAATGATTCCTCCAGCTTCAATGTGTATTTTTTTGTACTTCATTTTGGAAATATCATACTTAAATATTTTCTCTCTTGAGTTTGTTTTAGTTCCAATGCTGAGGAATGAAAATTCTGGGGAGGGGGGAAGAGATAAAGATAATGGATTTTTCTAGGCTTTACGTGTCAAGAACGGCTTTTTCAAATGGCTAATAAAGTAGCCTGGCAGTGCCTATCCCTCCTACAATGACGTTTTCTGTGGAATTAGCATTTAATTGGGATAATTTGTTTTCAACAGAAAGCAAAGATTTCTTTCCAAGAGGATCCGTGTGATAATGTTTTACCAGCTAGTGCTCCGAGACCAAATATAAACCAGTTCTGAGAAACAGGAAGTGAACCTGACTGGTCTAGTCTGAGTGTCCCTGGCAGTGACGCAAATACAAAAATCAAATTAGGAAAACAAGATATGTGGGTGTGAGGCAATCGATAACAATCCAGGATGCTGTGACATAAGCAAAAGAAGCCTTTAACCAAATGCCATTCATTTTAATAACACCCCAAGCATTTTGATTTCCATGTAACACGCTGGTGATTAGAGAGCCGGGATGAGCTTGAGTTCCCTAGCAACCGCATGTGCTTTTGAGACAGTCATTAGCCTTTCAGTTAATCCCCTCAACCCCTTACTTCTAAATGTATGACTGACATTAAACATAAAATGGTCTTTCAGAAAGCGCTTTTCAAAATTTCCAGGAGGGAAATGGAAAGGAATAATAATAATCCAAGAGCTGTCCTGAGAATTGTATAGGTGAAAGGAGGGACACTCCTATGTGCCCAGCCTTTCCCTACATTTCATTGCTTTCAGGTCTAGGTTTCTGAATGCCCTGGGGTAAAGGGCAACGGAGGTGACACTGTTCTGTCTCCTCACGCAACAAGGAGCAGAATTGCTGTCTCTCAGAAACACACTCTGAAGGGAGGGGTGAGCTCTGAGGTACACAGGTTGCTGTTTGTGTGGTGGGAAACTGATTGACAGGTTGGATGGGATGAAATATACCACATTTTCTTTCTCCTTTAAGCTCCACAAATTACCTTGATCGAAGGAACTTAGGGGAAGGAGGGTAGTGAGGGGAATGAAGCTCTTTTTTCCTATTGATTGTTTAATTGCACCAGAGGCTGTTTGTCCAGGGCCACTGGCCAAGAGCATTATTTTCGTGGCTAAAATGAGGTTGGGCCAGTTTCCCATCCTCTTCCTTAGATTTAAAGAAGGCAACCCAGAAAGCCCAGAAAGGCTAGAGGAATCTGGGGTGTGTTGGCCTTTCCTATTCAAGGGTGCCCTACAGCGCCAAGGCTGCTGGGATGACGTTTCTGAAATCCTGAATCATTGCCTCCGGCTGGGTCCTGAGTTCGGGATGTGCAACTCCACCCACTGTGTGGCCTGGGTCAACTGCAGGGCGTTATACAAATAGTAATTCTTGCTGTGACTGGCTGGCCATCCTTACTATGGCCTGGGTCCCTGTCAGCTGGACACCGGGTTCCTTCATTCCGACGTGACTCCTGCCGCCCCACCTAACCCCCCTGCGCGCTCCCTTCCCAAGGCGACCACCTGCGCCTCCACTTACCCTCTGCCCCGCGGGGAGGGCCCCTCAGGGTAGCAGAGCCCTCCCAGCTCCCGGGCGGCTCAGGGAGAGCTCGGTGTTTGCCTCCAGCCCTTCGCTACCGGAGGATCAGGTTCCTCCCCTCCTCCCTCTCCAGCTTCGGCCGCTGCCGCCGCCGCCGCCGCCGCCGCCGCCTCCTTCTTGCATGACACAGCAGAACCGCAGCTGCTGCAGCAAGTCCAAACCATCCGCCCAGGAAGCGAAGCAACCGGGACTCGGGAGGGGCGGAGGGGGCAAGGCAGGGGTCCAGTCCAGGGGCAGCCTTGGTCCCATTTTGCATCATACACTCCTTCCCTACCCAGGGGGCACGCGAACAAAATGAGGTTCAAGATGACCAGGCCAAGCCATGGAGGAATGCTGGGGCTTGCCTGCCCGCAGAAGGGATAGGACCAGAGAGGAGGGGGTGAAGCAGACCCCAGGAAAGGGCAGGACATTTCAGGTGAAGAAAGTAAGACGATTCCGGGAAGTCAAGGCCAGGCTGCGGAGGAGATTACAGGAGGTCAAAGAGAGGTAAGGGGGTAGAGTTGCTGGAAGAGAAACAGCTGGGAAAGGGGTGGTGGTGGTGGTGAGTATTTGGGAAGGCCTGAGCCCGGCACTCGAGCAGACAAGGGCCTTAGATGGGCCTTAGCCTGAGCAAAAGAGGGGTAAAGGGATGAAAGAATTAGGCATGAGATTGGAGGTCCAAAAAAGAAAAAAGAAAAAGTGGCTGTGGGGGGAGGCAGAATTAGAGGGGATGTACTGGCGATCATTTGTCATGAGGGATGCTGTGGACAGAGAGATAGTCAAGGAAAGGTCAGAAGGAACTATCCTCTCCCATATCACTCCAGATTCTTGAGAAGTTTTTTTTTTTTTGTAATTCTGCCAATCTAGTTTAACTTATAAAACTGGAAAAGCATGAACCAAAACAGAAGTAGCAATGTAGCTTAGGTTTATAGTTTAACATTTTCATGGGCCATAAAAATTCTTGAGACAGAAATGTGATTTCAAGAAGACCCTCACCCCCAAGAGGCTGTGAGTCAGTAATACTAAGAGTCCTCCAAACTGTTAGTTTCCATACATCACCGGACTTGAATAAACCTTTCAAAGTTGTTAAATACTTAAATGTTGGAAATGGAGACAAATTTAGTGGCTCAGAATCTTAAGATGCACATGAGCTCTCTCCACACACATAACATGCATGTATGTATATAATTTCTAGTGTGTAGCATGTACAGTATGATTAAAGGATAAGAATGTTTTCCTGGTCATTTTATTTCCAGCCAAACACTCATTTTGTAGCAGCTTTCTTGTCATGGTATGAAAGAATGTGGTCAGAAAAGTAATGTGAAGACTGCCACTTTGGTTTTGTCTGTGCCTCACAGGTCAGACCTTCATACCTCACTTCCTGACACAAACAAGTTTTCACTGTTGTCAGCAACAAAGCCCTAATTTAGCTACGGAAGAGAAAAACTGCGTTGCATTTTGCCTGCTGCGAGCATCATCAACAGTTACCGGAGGAATGTAATTCCAGACTGGTGGTGTTGGTAATTATGGACCAAATGCCTGATTCTATTTGTTGTTATTATTTGGGCATTTCTGTTCTACCAGAGATCTGCGAAGGACCTCACTGAGGGACAAATCCAGGTTGTTGTTGGTTTGGGAGGTTTATTTATTTATTTTTGACTTTGTAAAATTTAATCAGGCCTGATAGGAAACTCATGGCTCTTGGGGGTAACATAAAGTAGGAGCCACGAAATGTCATTTTAACAGAGCGTGGGTTTTGTAACTGTAGGAAAGGATTTAAGGACGCTGGTTCTGTTAGGCTTGCTATGTGATGAGCACGGGCTCCACGCACGCACCGACGCCACAGCTCCCGGATGCAGAGGCTCCCTTATCTGGGCTTCTGCGGCGCCACAAGCCCCTTCGGGATGCTGCAAGGGGCTCCCGGTGGGTGGTGGTACAAACGCTGAGGCCGCAGCCGCCGCCAGTCCTGCTGCTGTTGTTGCTGCTGCAGTCACGTGGGAGCCCCTTTAAGTTTCCATAGCGAGGCCTCTCCGGTGTCACATGATGGACATGATATAATGAAACAACATTGTGGAGAGGAAAGCATTAGGGGAGTCCACGGCTACAAAAACAAGTGAGTGAGAAGAGGTGGGAGGAAGAGAAACTACGCCACCTCCCCTGCAGCCGAGCGCACGCAGCAGCCCAGCGTGACAAGTGGGCGACGCTGGGGGACAGGGAGCGGGGGTCCTGGGCCCTGACCGGAGACCCTGCTGCCCACCGCCACGCAGAGCAACTTTTAGCCGGCAGCCCCGCACCTGTCTCCGGAGTCTCCATCGCTCCCCGCCACCATCCAGGGGAAATTCTAGAAGCTTACGCTCTCCGAATCTACGTGCGCATCATTATCCTCCTCGCTGGGGAGGAAGGAACCAGAAAGGGACAGAAGTGGCGTTGTGTTCGGCCCAGAGGTAAGTCCTGTAGGGTGGGGAAAGCAGGTGCAGCCGGACTCGGGAATGGGGACCTGGGGGGCGGGGGGGCTCTGTTTCCCCCCGTGGGCGAAATAGGCGTCCCCATGCTCCGGGTCGGGCAGATGGATTTGATCGTCATCTATTTCCCGGGTGGACTCTGTTAATTTCCACCTTCGATGCCGGCGTTCCCACCTTGGGTTCCCCGGAGGCCCCTTGCCGGCCCCGCGGGAAGGGGTCTCCGGTTCCCGGCCAGGATGCTCGGCCGGCGAGCGGAGGAAGGTAGGGCTGTTGCGTGCACAGGGCATGTCGGAGCTATTTCGCCATGTTTGTGTTGCTAAGAGCACTTTTTTTCCCCTTTGCGGTGGCTTGATGCCACATGGCTCCTCCGGAGCTGCTGCCGGGTTGAGAGCGAGTGGTTTTTTTTTTTTTTCAATGTCCGCATTCCAGCTAATGTTGCGCAGATAAAATTCAAACTTGAGGGAAGCCCAGGTGTAGTGGCACACACCTTTAATTCCAGTACTTGAGAGGTAGAGGCAGGTGGATTTCTGTGAGATGGAGGCCAGCCCTGTTCTACATAGTGAATTCCAGGCCAGCTGGGGGCTGAAGGGAAAGAACCTGTCTCAAAAAGACAAAAGAAGGAGGAGGAGGAGGAGGAGGAGGAGGAGGAAGAGGAGGAAGAAGAAGGGAGGGAGGGCCGGCCGGAGGGGGCGGGAAGACTGTTTCCATTTCGAGATCCCACCTCTTCACTGCGCGCAGACCAACATCCCGAACCTGGAGGCAACTCTCGCCTGGCTCCCACGCCCCCCACCTCTGCTGTCAACTAGACGTAAGGGCTGGGGGCGTGGGATTGGGAAGGACGCAATGTCGTGGTCCCCAGGGGGAAGAGGCAGCCCCTTGGAAGCAGACCTTTGACTCTTGTCTTATTTGGGGTCTTCTTATTTTGGCGGAGGGACCTCAGGACGCGTGGGTTTGCTTTGGGGATGAGCGGTGGGAGGGCGAGAGGTGCATGTTCCCTCATCCCCCGTGGCTTGATACCGGGTCGCGTCGTCTCCTCCTCACCCCAAGCGCAGGATCCCCGCGAGGTGGGGTGGGTGGGGTCGGAGTTCCCAGAAGACAGGCTATACCTAGCAGGTGTGTGGGGTGGGCATTTAGGGTTTGCTAAGTCTCCTGTATTTGCTAAGAGGACTTGGGGAGTTAAAGCGAGCGCATGGGTAGAGCGGAGTCTTCTGCCTCTGGATTTGGGGGTTTTGTTTTTAAAATCACAAAGGAAAATCAAGATAGCCCCCCCCCCCCTTAAAATGTCTTGTTTCAGCTGGCAGCGAGGCTGCTGCGTGAGGGACGAGGGCGAGCTTCGTCATGTGGCAAACTAGGCTCCTGACAGCTTGGAGCCATCCTCTCCCCCTCCCGCGCGTGCCCGGGGCGGAAGGTGTGGGCTGGGTGGTCCGAGGAGGGTGACGTCCGAGCCAGGGTGGGGACAGGCTCGGGATCCCGCTGCGCTGGGGGGTCCGCAGCCCGGATGGCCAGGGAGCGGCGTGTCGGGGAGGAGGCGGCCACGTGAGGGTCCGCAGCGCCAGCCGGGGGCGAAGTGCGTCGGCAGAGTCGTGACGGGGGTGACACGCAGCAGCGGCGGGCGACTCGCCTCCCACGCAGGCTCGCACCGCGGGTGGGTACGCATTGAGCGCCGGCTCCCGGGAGACCGTTTCCGGCCCAGGGCCCGAGCCCAGTGGTAAACAGGGTGGCGCCCTCTGCCCTCCCACCCCCGGCCTGGCGGAGGCGCGCAGCGGGAGAAGCGCGATCCCGACGCCGGGTAGGGGTGGCGAGAGCGCGCACACGCGCCCCCGCGCCGCTGTCCCGCCTCCTCTGTTTTTGTTTTGATGGAGCCCGCGTGCAGCTGGCGCGTGTCGAGTCACGTGCCGGGGCCGCGAGGGGGCTGAGTGCGGGCGGCCGGGTTTCGGGGGAGGGGGAGGGCAGGGAGGAAGCTCTCTCCGCCGGAAGACCACCTTGGGGGGTGTCGGGGCACGTGCGTTGTGCAACTGGGCGCAGTTGCTTCTCAGGAGCAGTGTTGGGGTTCGGCGTCACAGCATCCAGGCAAGTCTCCAGTCTAGAGGACCGGTCTGCGCTGATTTGCTGAGAAACCGAATGGACCTCACAGGTGTGTGTATCAGTTTGGACGCAGGAGGACTTACGTGTAGTTTATTTGGCTGCACAGTATCTATAAATCGAGAGTTTTCTAGTTGATCCTGATACCCAGGGAACTTAAATCCTAATAGACTCTGGCCAGAGGCTCATTTTACTCTCTTCCTCCAGTGATTGTGACGCAGTGAGAATGAAAACGGAGGTTAGCAGACTGATAGAGTAGGTAGCTGAGGAATTATCCGTACTTAGGGACAAAGAGCAAAAAATAGCTCAAATAGTTAACATACTGATCTGTCACTAACTGGGGCCTGTGTGTGCCAGGCAGGATGGCCACATAAATACGGTGATAATCTGGTGAAATAACATCTGTGTTTTACAGTTGGAGAAATGCAGGCGCAGGGACGTTTGATGAGAGCTGCTCAGAGAGGACTCCCTGGGGGCAGGTCCCAGAGCAAATACTTGAAACCATTTCTGGGTCTGTTTCGGGGACCGTGCGCCTATGCGAACAGCTGCGTGTAGGAGTGGGATCTAGTGCATGTTTGCCTGAGGGCCTGAGTCTGTGTACATGGATTTCTA